AGCGGTGGCATCCAAGACGCTTGCCGGCCTTTTGTACAGCCTTTTGAATGACTTCCTTCGCCACATATTCGGCATGCCTTTCAGTGATCTCCAACATATCTCTGGCAACGAACGCAGTGGACATGTACTGCTTAATATCTGGTCCCTCTTTTGTTTCTTCGGCAAGCTTACAGGATGCGCCAAAGGCGTGTTGCATTGACCAAAGTCTACCAAGGGCTGCATCCGAGCTTCCAACAAGGCCCTCGGTCTCTTCCCTCAAACTCCAAGAGAACGCAGAAGGCTGATTTGGCATGCATCGAGCGACTGGCTCTGTCCAACCAATTCCACGAGGGTCGAAGCCGATGATGTCGAAGTATCTTGCGTCAGGCGATGGGGTGGAAGTCTCAACGTTAGAGTCTATGATCTGTTGTAGCCCTCCTGCTAAGAAGAGCGCAACTGATGTACCTGATCCTCCGGGCCCGCCAGGGTTGAACAAGACCGGACCACCATACCGGGGATCATCCACGGATACTTTGGCGGGTAGCTTGACGATAGCGATGCTCACAGTACGATCAGGGTAGGTCCCGTTGAAGTAATCCAGTGGTAGGCTTAGTTTTGCGCATTCAAATTCGCCATGGCACTTGTGAAATTCTAATTGCTCACTCGGGGTGATCTGGATTTTGGTCAGTCGTGCATCCACCAGTCGACATTATGATGCTGAGGCACCCTCTTTAGACTAATTTGTAGAGAGCTGCGGCTCGCTTATGTTGATACGGTGCTGGGACTTTGGCTAGAGCGACATGCTGGTGAGCCGGAATGGGATCTGGTCAGGCCACCAATCACGATCGGATTTTTCATTGAGCCTTTTGATGACGAAGATCGCCTGTGGTGCTCCGGCATGCGCTCAAGACATCTCCCGGAAGTAGAGTAACCATCTGCTGTGCGACTTGGATCGAGGCTATCATTCGATCTGATAAGATGCGGGCCAGGGTGGCTGCAGAACCACGTGTGCGGTGCGACGCTCAGGGAACACTCTCTCAACATACCTCGGACCACTCAAAGGCAGCATCATGCAACGCAGGCTCAACGTCTAGAAATGAGGACAGATCCCAGTTCTTCAATTCAGGGAAGATGGTATCCACTGCCGCGAGGCACACGAGTGTGACGAAGGTCGCAGAAAGCAGTGCACGCCACCGCGTCGGGGTCCGTCCAGGCTTGACCGGCGCCGTCGCATCCTCCAGCCCGTTCCAACTCTTCATGATGTACTCGAAGTCGTTCCAGCCGGCTGAAGAACAAGCAAAATAAATGCGATGAAGTATTGGATATCCGCGAGTCGTTGAATAGTAGAAGACGGGTGTGGAGGGGTCGTCTGTCAGCGTGCATCCTCAGCCCAAGACATTCGACGTCGCATCCTGGCGCCTGACGCCAAAAGTGAAGATCACCTCAGGCAGCAGCAAAGCACTCGAGGATGCGGAAGTGTGTGCGCGAGGACTATACAAAACGCAGCACGGAGTGCGCCTGACTCCCCGCAGACAGCCCAGCTATCGCTTGCAGAAACCTGCCTTTCTACTCTGCGTTGGTGCTGCAGCTGCAGCAGGACTGGCCGGCGGCTATGTATGCAATATGCAGATGTGGTCACAATGCGCTGCCTTGGCTGCTGAATTTTCCAAGTGCAGAAAGCGAGACTAGTGCGTGCGATTAAGTAATGGGTTAGTTGCCGTTAAGATTATCCATGTGCTGGGTGGTGAGGAGAATTGGCATCGCCACGAACCTGCGTCTTGTGGAGGGACCCGTTAGAGACCGCAGAGCCTCATCGCAACAGCGGTAATGTGATCTCATTGATCCTCAGGAAGAAGGCATCGGTCTGGCTGTTGTACCCGTTTGCGAGGCGAATGTGAGTGAGCATGCTTGCTTTTGGAATGCGGTGTAATCTGCTTTTTGCTGACATGTCTCTTGCTAGAGTTCAAGGTTACATTGGAATGACACAGCTTTTGGGTAGGTAGCAAGCCACCATGGCTACGAAGAGCCCGTAGGGAAAGTGCACAAAGAACGGGAACCCTTATACCGCGACAAGTACAGAGTAGCAGCACCTCCTGATTCAATGGGTATCTCATCTCTCAGTACCAACCACCTCTACTGCCATTAAACATGATATGAAACGTCCGTGTGAATGATGATGCTCATTCGAGGAGGAGCAGTGTCGGCTAACGTCCAAAAGATCTCCATCGTGTAAAGCCAGCTCCAATCCCAGGAGCGTTCTTGCCCTCAACTAGAAAGTTCGTACCTTTGGTCATTCTGAGAGCACAGGACTGTAGGGCGTGGGTCCGGCCAGGTGTTTACCATTGCTGGCCACCACCTTGGCCACCCTCTTGACCACCACCGTAACCGCCCTGACCGCCGCCCTGACCGCCACCGTAGCCGCCGCGAGACTGGTATCCGCCGCCGCCGCCGCCGCCTTGAGAAGGTCCCCAAGAGCCGCCGCCCTGGCCGCCGCCGCCGTAGCCTTTTTACCAAGTTAGTTTCTCACTGTGAATAGAACGGTGACATGTGCTTACCACGGTCGCCGCCACCGTAGCCTGGGGATATAGTTAGTATAGAACCGTAATGGGTAGGCTGAGTGAAGCTTACCTCCTCCTTGACCACCGCCGTAACCTCCACGGTATCCGCCGCCACCGCCTCCGTAGCCGCCGCCGCGAGGAGCACCACCGCCAGCGCGGTCGGAGGCCTTGTCGACGCGAATCCTACGTCCGTCGAATCTGGGAGAGTCAGCGATGCCCACTGTTGGATGGTACGTGAAGGCAGAAGAGACGTACTCCTCGTTGTTCATGGCCTGCATAGCGGCATCGGCCTCGGTGTCCTGGGCATAGCGAACAAAGCCAAAGCCTCGGCTGCGGCCAGTATCGCGGTCCTTAACCACGACCTGTGACGATGTGAGCATTGACTCGACCTTGGCGACGACATTCGTCGAGTAGCGTGTCACTTACGGCTTCTTCGACTTGACCGAACTCCTCGAACTTTTGACGGAGAGCTTGGTCGTCGGTGTGCCATGCGAGGCCTCTGTTCAGGGTCAGTCGCGGTCGCGGTATGGGAAGGCTGCGTACTTACCCAATGAAGAGCTTAGACATGGTGAGAGTGATGTCTGGGTCGAACACTGAACGGTCTCAATACTAGCTCTCGCAACTCGAAACAAGGCGCGCGATACAAAGAAGCTCAAGACAGGTAGTGACAGGAGTTGTAGAGTGAAGGAAAAGTGCAGGAAGGCGAGGAATCCATCGCGGCTTCCCGGGCAGGCAGTATGTAGCAACGTGACGGAACGAACATTTGATCTTGTAGCACCAGGCTGTATTGGTGATGATGGCGCAAGCGATTGCTCTGAAGAGTTAGAGGAGGGAGAGTCGGCTGCAGGCTGTCGCAAGAAAGTGATGGCACAGGGTGAGGAGCAGAGATAGTGAAGCGTCTAGGTTGGCGGGGCAAGCGACGATATGAGTACCCCTCCACCAGGTGAAAGAGCGCTAGGCTGCAAGCAAGTAATAGGTTGCGCGCACGGACTGGAGGGCTGAGGGCCCGGTTTATAAAGCGACGTGGATGGCCACGAGCGACGGGGTGCAATGTGTCTCTCCAGCCAGTCGAGCCAGTCAAGCCAAGGGGTCTGGTAGTTCGGACCTGGGCTGCAGGCAGGCAAACGGAACTGGCCCCTCGCAGCTAGCCGGTCCCAATGCCTTGTCTAGGAGCCCGCACCTGACGATGGACAGGGTGCAGATACTGGTTCTGCCATACATGTCGGCTGGCTGGCTCCCTAGCCTGTCCCGTGTCTGTCTGTTCATGCTGGGTATATGCAGCCCACGTTAGCCTGAGACCGGGGAGGCCCAATTGCAGGGCCCTTGACGAGCCAGAGAAAACGATTTTTTTGATAGGTGCATCGATCCATCGTCCTGCTCAGAGTGCCGGCAGGAGTGCGGCGGCGTCATTGGGCCACTGCGAAATACGTGCATGGACAAGCCTGCGGATAGACAGATTGCGTGCTCGAGACAGCAGCGATCTGCGCCCATGGCTACAGCAAGACTATCGGGCTGTGACGAAAAGGTCAATGGCGGACAGGTATTGGACAGAAGATGGTGGTTCAAAGAAGCTTATCAAAGTCGCCATCCTTAGTCTGACGGTGTGGGGATCGGGTCTAACTAACTTCCAGGCCCTCCAGGGCTCTGCATCCCGAACTGGCTCGTGCGCGCGACGTCAAGATGTAGCAAGCTGAGCGTGCTTAATGAGACGACTGCTCGCACTTATACGACCGAAGTCCATTGCGCTGAGACAGGCCAGAACGTCCCATCAAATCACATACTACACAGTCGTCACCATCGGATACAGAAAGCGGGCAAATCGGCAGTGTTTACCGAGATATACCGAGGCAGCGCGGACTGAACCGATCCATCTGTGTTCGTTCTGCGTATCTCCAAGCAAGTCGGCGACGAGAAGCCATCGCAGCCATTTCCCTGCGATAGCGGCACAGCGCATGCGGCAGCACGATGCACGGTGCCAAGACGTCTCGCTCTCGGGGACCGATTCTATGGCAATACCATCCATCCAATGATATGAGCATCTTGCAGCCCGAATCGAAGTAAGGAGAGGAACAGACACGACAGACATGGCCTCATTTCCACACCGTGAAGGTTGAAGGGTTGACGATGCACTGGCGTCATCAATGCATCGTGCCTTCCTCCAGCAATGCAGTGACTTCGGCGATGCCGGCAGCCTCACAATGGCAGCACCCATTGCACCTGCCATCACTCTGTCTAGCTATCTGACGTAGCCTATCAGGTAGCTGCAACATCCAGATGAGACCTTGTCACCTTGAACATCTCCCAGATTACCGTCACACAAGCAACTGAGCGACTATCACGACGATCTGCTCATCCACGCCGTATCCTAGCACCGTCTGGCCCCTCGAGCATCTCAGACCCACCAGACTTGCGAGGCGAACCAGACTCCGTTAACGGCACGGCTCGTCTAGGATGCAGGACAGCATGGACATACGAAAGTGGCTAGACGAGACAGTGCAACCGGAAGCACCGCGCGAGCCCAATAACCTTCATCAGACCGCAGAGCCTGCTAAACGGAAGCGCCGCCGCAGATCAGACAGCTCCCTCCTCGATCCCCGTCCACTTGCATCCTCTCCGCATAAGCCAGCGGAGGATAGTGCTGACGAGGCGCTCCAGGCGACATGCAGCGACAGCTCTCGCAGCAGCCGATATGCGCGCAAACCTCGTAGAAAGACGCGTCCAGAGCGGTATGAGCCACAGTATGCGCCAGGTCCCCATGCCCATCACGATCGTAAGGACAAATCAAAGAAGTCGCGACGCAAGCCTCGACGCAAGAAGGGCGAGAAGGCACCTGGTGTTATGCAGACCTTCCAGGCCACGAACATATCTGGAGATCGGCTGACCGTAAGATGTCTATGCAGTCGCCTGGAACATACAGTATGGTGTTGACGATTGGACTAGTTGAAGCCACGGGAGCAGCTAGGCCTCTTCAACAAGGGACGGACATCTACTGCAATCAAGGGCCGCGGGTGTGAGTAATTCATTCCCCTTCCTACAGCCTGAATGATGTCTTCCTGTACGTCTTCCCCGCATTACCCAGCTGACGTGTCGCAGTGCCCGATCTGGTCTTCTCGGAGATGAAGTTCTTGCAGCAGCACAAAGACGAACCAGAGCCTGTCCCTCGAACCGACGCGTCCAAAAAGAAACGCAAGAAGGACAATGAACAGATGAAGGAGGGAGAGATCTCCGCTTTCTTTACCTCAGCGCAACCGGCATTAGCCGACAAGGACACAAATACCCTACCGCAGCATCCTGTACCAAAAGCTAAGCGGCGTCGTCGTGATCAATCCTCGGTAGATGACATTGCTATACCTACTGTTGAGGCTACAGGCCAAGCCTCATATTTAGGTTTTGGAAGTAGAGGCCCTCGCCATGAGAGTAATAGCTACGTTTCCTGGTCAGAGTCAATTCGAGCGCCTAGCACGGCGCCCGCACGCCCTCACATATCTCACATACGTACCAGTTCGCGCGATGTAGAATTTCATGGTGAGTCCGAAGCCAGAAATGCAAATGAGAGTAATAGCTTCAAACTACCAGCCCGACCCCCTCCAGTGACGAAGCAAAGAACCGATAGCACGCCTGCCGAGCGCTTCAGGGTTTCGTCCTTGGGACCATCACATGGCAGAGCTTCGAGATCACAGTCCTTCCCGCAACACACTTCGTCCCCGCGACGACCGAACCTCGTCGATCGATCTGCGAACCCACGTGCGGCTGACAATATTCATTCGCCTTCGTCAATGCCACCGTCTGCGCCCAAACATGCTATGGGCACGCATCGTACTCAGCTACCCAGCTCCTCGAAGAATAATCGATCAGACTCGACTCCAGTCTCTGGGATGACTGCTCCATCCGGGTATGGACAGGAGAACCAGCATAGCGAATACAGTCCTGCTGGAGAAGGAAGAATACCGACATCTTCCGACTTGGGGGTGGTTTTGCGGCATTGCAACGATACCTTCCACGAACGACGTCTGGCCATAGGGTCGCGGAGGAGACACACCGAGGAGACGCACCCATCGTATCCACAGTCGAACCTACGGCAGAGTACGAGAGACACTTATCATGCAGCTCAGCAGGGTCCCACTGTACGCTTCGCGGATCAGTCTCATTATGGACCGGTGATGCCCAATTTTGCTGGCCCGAGCATCTACGAACAACAAGCACAGCGTCAGCGATCTCATATGCAACGGGATCGCGAAGAAGAACCTCTCCAAAGTCCATACCATCTCGAACAGAATAACCTGGACCAAGGATATCAAATGGGATACGATGACGGGATGGAGCATGATGACGAGAACTGGGAAGGGCTTTTAGAAGAGCCCCTGTCGTATAGCCTTGATGGTGATTCTGACATATACGGCGGTATCGAAGCACACCCCGGAAATGGAATTGAGCTGGTCCAGGATTCGAGACCAGAAAACGACACGGTGGCTCCTGGGTTTTGGCGGCCGAATAAGTTGTACTGATGTTGAGGTGGGTGGCTGGCTGGCAGCCACATAGTGCGTTAGCGGCAACTTTCTTTTTCCGTGATTAGAAGAGGTCCTGAATAGCGAGACGTGAAGCCTGCAGTTATCCCAAGAAGCTCAAATGATGAGGAAAGACCTGTGACTGCAATCTGATTCATGGCAATTTGACGAAGCTCAGAAATCGATAGCGACAAGCTGCCTCGGTGTCCGTGCATAAAAAGTTGGAGCTTCCGGTCTCCGCTCCCGTACCTTGCGGACGTTTTCTGATCCTCGGTCTGGGCTTCGCATGAGAGGAGAATCGGCTGCGCTTCCATCTGGTAGTTTACTAAACGGGTGCCATCTGCATGCTCATCCATCAATCGTTGTTGCGGCTCTGTCCCGCCCAGAGATTGATCACCCGGTCGAAGCTCCCCTTCCCTACCGCGACGGCTGTCCCATGCAGACAGTCGGCGGTGACGTTTGTCACAGTGGCGCCTTCCCAACACAGCTCCCCGCCTGCGAGCCCCACTAGTAGACCCCTCAACGACAAAATCAACTCTAGGGCTCGTCTACTTGCAGGCCATCTCAACTCCACAGCTTCTTCTTCCACAGCCATCCACACAGCTGCCACGAAGACCCCATCCACCATGTCTTACACCACCCGCAAGGTTGGCGCTGCCAACACCCTCGAGCACCGCGTCTACATCGAGAAGGACGGCCAGCTCGTCTCGCCATGGCACGACATCCCGCTCTACGCCAACGAGCAGCAGACCATCCTCAACATGGTTGTTGAGGTGCCCCGCTGGACCAACGCGAAGATGGAGGTGCGTCGGCCCCAATTGGCTGCGCCGTGGCCTGTGTACGGCTGCGCGAAACGAAAGACGCTGACTGTCGCTACAGATCTCCAAGGAGGAGCAGCTCAACCCCATCAAGCAGGACACCAAGAAGGGCAAGCTCCGCTTCGTGCGCAACTGCTTCCCCCACAAGGGCTACCTGTGGAACTACGGTGCCTTCCCTCAGGTACGCTGACGCGACCCCGATATCGGACAATATACCAATGCTGATGCTGTGCAGACTTGGGAGGACCCCAACGTTGTCCACCAGGAGACCAAGGCCAAGGGTGACAACGACCCATTGGACGTCTGCGAGATTGGCGAGCTTGTCGCCAAGCCCGGTGAGGTCATCCAGGTCAAGGTCCTCGGTGTCATGGCTCTGCTCGACGAGGGCGAGACCGACTGGAAGATCATGGTCATCAACGTCAACGACCCGTTGGCCCCCAAGCTCAACGACGTCGAGGACGTCGAGCGCCACCTGCCCGGCCTTCTCCGCGCCACAAACGAGTGGTTCCGTATCTACAAGATCCCAGACGGCAAGCCCGAGAACCAGTTCGCCTTCTCCGGCGAGTGCAAGAACAAGAAGTACGCCATGGACATTGTCCGCGAGTGTGCCGAGGCCTGGGAGAAGCTTGTCACTGGCAAGACCCCCAAGGACGAGATCAGCCTGTGAGCAGTGGCCAAACTACCCCGAATGATGTGTACTGACGAAGCTCTAGCACCAACACCACCGTCTCGCACTCTCCCGACCGCACCGATGCCAGCTCGCTCAACGTTCCTCAGGGCGAGAACAAGGCACCTGCCCCCATCGATGGCAGCATCGACAAGTGGTTCTACATCTCCGGTGCCCCGTCCAACTAGATATAACGGGAGCCGTGATGAGCACAAAAGTCTGGATATCATTGGAGCATGGGAATGACTGTAGATGATAGATAAACGTGCATGATTAACGCCGACCAACGACGGTATATGGACCCATGAGGAATATCATCAATGCCTCGTCTCAGCCCAACCCAGAATATTGCCGTGACGCCGACCGATGCTCTGTGTCTTGATACATATGTACATTCATGTCTTGATATCAAGCCCTTAATTGCCTGCCAACTCGTCTTTACGAGCCAGTGACCGTGAATGTCTATCCACTTCTTCGACGACTTGTGTTATGCGCATGTTGCTGAGGTCGAGATTCATCTCCTTGCCATCCTCTACGTGGATGTTAGCATTTGCTCAAGGTGCGCCGAAAGTGTACGTACTGAACTTGACGCCCAAATTGGCAGGCTCTTTGCTGTCTCGTGGCAGCATCTTGGATTCGATCTTCATGCCATCTGCACGTGCATTCGGTGGTATTAAGGAGAGGAAGAGGCGGGCGGGCTTGGAGCGCGGGGAGAAGGGATTGAAGGTAACGCGGACGTCGGTCAGGAATCTGGTGATCATTGCGGCGGTGGAGCACGGAGGAGTCGGCGATGCAGACTATGGCTTGTTAGAGAATACGCATGATGAACAGCTGCGACTACTTACCAATAGGCGGTGATTCGGGAATGCGCTGCAATTGACGTCCCACGCTCGTCGCAACCTCTTCGCGATAAGTCCGTGCTCAAGATTCTCTGCGGGCCACGCTACAGCTAGCCGTCCAGACACGTTGCGCTCTTCCACCCCGCCAAACGGCCCACCGTAGCCATCTCCGTCATAGGCCATCTGCATACATCGACCAAACTCTCTCCGCATTCCGAGCCACCATGGCACCTCTCCCCTCCACCACGCACACTCTCACCACCCGCCTAAGCGCCCTCTCCGAAGCCAACAAAGGCGTCGGCCAACTTATCCAACGACTAGCCAAGCTAGACTTCCAGCCAGGTTCGCAACCACTCGACAATTCCGACGAGGGCGACGTGAGGTTGGAACTCAGTGCCGAAATACACGAGACTCTGAAGGGCATCGAGGAGGAACTTGAACTTCTGAGGCAAGAGGTCGAGGACGTTACGTCACAAGGAGGCATTACAGGAAGAAGGCGGGATAGCAGCAAAGACAGCGAAAGGAGTAGACTTGCTGTACTACTTGCGAGATTAACCGAGGACCTGAAGTTGTGAGTGATACATTCCCCACCTACCGTATTCTTTGTTATGGCATGCTAACCCTACGTTCCTGCAGATCGCGATCACAATATCGGAAAGCGCAACTCACAGCCAAGCACAACGCCGACCGCGCAAAGCTCAAAGAGCGCGAACTCCTCTTCTCCAACCTACAATCAGGCTCCTCCACCCCATCTTCCACATATCGCCAGAGAAAGCAACAACAAGGGCTATCGGAAGGCGAAGTCGTCGCGCAGGCTTCTTCAGACGTCACATCTGCTCTGCGCCGGACAGCCCAGTTGATGAAAGACGAGCTATCACGCTCACGATTCGCACAAGAAACACTCGAACAGACAAACGCCGCACTACAAGATCTTGGGGAGCAGTACTCAGATCTGAACACCCTACTAGCCAACAGCAAGAACTTGGTCTCGACACTCCTGAAGAGCACAAAAAGCGACACGTGGTATCTTGAGACCACCTTCTACATCCTCATAACGACTATCATCTGGCTCGTCTTCCGCCGCTGGTTATACGGACCGCTCACCTGGTTCATCATCTGGCCAGTGAAACTTACCTTTCGCATCCTCTTCGCCGTCCTACCCTTCGACGCCGCATCCTCAGCCGCATCCTCGAGTGTCGCAGTATCTTCTTCCTCAAGAACCCTGATCGTCCAACCTAGCGCAACAGGTGGCATACCCCGACGCGAACCCAACGCCCAAGGACACTACATACCTGTCGGTCGCGGAGGCGGAGTGAATCGACACCTAAGATAGCGATACAAAGTGAATGTTAATTGCCCTGCTTGCAGGGCTGTATGTACTCGACTCGCACCGGACGAAAGCGGACGCTGTAATTGGCAGACCAGAAGCAGTCGTCTGATTGGGTGCAGGACGTGATTACCGTAAGCATTACGGTAATCACGGAGGCCGGCGTTTCGGGCGGGCTGCCGCGGCAGGTCGACGCGACGCGTCGCGTCGGCTTGCCGCTGCAGCCGGCGCCCGAGCCTTGGCGAGGAACATCAAAACTTCAGACGGGCGCAACACGCGCAGCGCGAGGTGCGACGCGTCAACACTCCAGACGGGAGCAAAAAGACTTTAGACGGGAGCAAAACAATCGCGCGCAGCGCGAGGTGCGACGCGATTGCTCGCGAAGCGAGCGGCAACGCTGGGTAGCGCGGGTCCTAAGGCCCGCGCAACCGCTGAGCCCCACCAAAATCTAATGACGCCCCCCGGCGCAGCCGGGAAGTAGGGCGTCTTGATCCTGTCTGGGATTACTTCGGATTTTAAAACTAAGTATACAGAATATTGTATTGTACTATACGCTATTATTTTGTAGCTCTGCCTCCACAGCCATTGCAGCCTCTAGATCCTGGAGTATTGACCTCTCTTCTCGTCTATCCTCAGCAGAGCAAAGCGCACGCTGCAGGTCACGTATCCTTTGCTGTACTAGAAGTATTTGTAATTCTGATGCCTCTCTATCCTCATAAAGTAGTGCTTGGTATTCCGTGTGTTCTTGCGCTAACTCTTCATCCTCCCGAAGTTGTTGCTCCTCATATTCAATGCGCTCTTGTTGCAGAGCTTCATCATCGCTTGATGTCCAGGCCTCGTCGTCAACCAAGCCTTCGTCGTCAACCAAGCCTTCGTCGTCACGTTCGTAGTCGTGTTCTAGATGTTCTAAGAAGCCCTCGCTGAATAGTCTGCTTCGATCTAGCGGACATGTAGCTGCCTTACCCTCGGATTGAAGGTGGTTGACCCATTTGGCGATACACGCCTTGTGAAATGTATGGCCGCAGACGATAATCTGGACTGTCGGCAGAACATCATTCTCGTAGCATATTGAGCACTCGGTTTTCGTGTCGAGGAAATGTCTATCGCTTAAGGTGTGCGTGATAGAGTCGAGGAGATTGTCCTGGGTATCTTGCGGAAAAGAGCTGGACATGTTGTTTTTTTGGAATGGCGGGGTTAGTTCATTCTTGCGAGGCTGTCTGTAGTTATAAATACGTCTTAAAAACTGTAAAGACAATAAAGAATGTAGTTTGTGTCTAAGACATTATTCGTTGTAGAGACAGTAGAGTATTGAATCTTCTAGGTGTTACTGTTGTCTCAAGAAAACTATGCGCTGTAAGCTTTATTCACGCCAACATATCGAAGTTGCCTGTGCTCTTCGTGTGTAGAACAATGTTAAGGAGGTGCTTGGAGGTGCTTACTAATAAAAGATAGATGGCGAAAATCTCAAGGCACGCACACTTTGTAGACCCCTGAAATACAGCTCTGATACCTTCTACTGCGAAAGCGAGGCATATCTCGGTAAACGCACCCAGGCATATAACGGACCCGTGGACGTTTGTCGCAACTCAAGAGTCTAATAATTGCGATTCCTCTCATTTGGGGAGTACCTTTGCGTACGTGGTGGTGATGTATTGTGGGAGTCGTGAGTGGCTTGGCGTCACAGTCTCAGTCAAGGGCGCATTGTCTTCCCGAGGTCTCTGCCCGCGGGGGTGGTGGCCTTGGCAAGAACTTTGCTAAGGTGGCCGCAGCACCCGTCCAAGACACCCCGGGCCTCGTCAACTAGTAACCCTCCCCTGCTAGACACCTGTATCGCAATATTCGCACAGTAACTTAGCATAGTTGACACTGAGTTATCCGTCGCCTCTTCGCCAACTTCCCCTAATGAGCACCCTCTCCCCGAACGTCCCAAGGTTCACAAACAACCTCGACAGGAAGCGCTCTGAATCATTAGCCCCACCGATGACCACTAGACCACAGTGACGCACTAGACACGTTCGCGAACAACATCAAAGCTATTCTGCTTTTACCACACACCGAAGCATACCTTTACGAGCCCGTTGAAAAGATACCCAAAGCCTCGTCACGCGCGAACGTCACAAGCATTCCATGTCATCAGAAATCCTCGCAGCGCTCTTCGAAGAACTTCATCACCCAGACACACGCGATCGTAGTGCAAGGATCCAAAATCTATGCGAAGTTTACTGGGATATCCTAAGCAATGACACCTCCATCGCACAGTTACACCTCAACGAATTCACCCTCCTGCTGCGCGAAGACGAAAACCTTGCGCTCGCACAGCTCGTTATACCCGAACTTCGATACAGCGCACCTACTGCGAAGGAAGAAACAAAGCGCCATATCCAACACCTCTTCCAATCCGTGTCAAGCCTAAGCCCGAACACCACACAGACGAAGTATGCAGAGGTACACCAGTTGTTTGAGAGTGAGAAGGATATCATTCAGGAGATGGATCTATACCGAGCTGCTCTGCTGCTCTTCAACCGCGGCGAGATTAGCGAAGCCAGAAAGACACGCTTGCGAGAGTGGTTACAGAACGCGCCCAAGTAATGGACAAGGTGGACAAGATGTGGACCAGATGGGGTTCAGACGGCATTTCACCGCGAGAGATATAACTTGCTATTCTTCACATACACGGAAGCCTTCCTATAGAAGCCTACATTACGCGAACGCTTCTAGAATCGAGTGTCTGCTTTGGCCTGCGCCATTGTCTCCATCAACATTCATCTCATCGGGGCTGTCGTCACGGATGCTTTTACGAGTCCGGCGGCGCTTTCGCGCACGTCCTGGGGCCACTGTCTGATCGTCGTCTGGGTCAGACCTGCTGCCTTGTACCGTCGCACCCAGGCTAGCGCTTCGGATTCGCTTCTTGGCGTGACTGTGTTTTGGTGTTTGTTTCGGAGAAGTAGGCTCAAGACTGTGGCTCTTGCAAGGTTCTTCGTCGTTTAGTCCGATTGGAAGCTTCTTAAGTTCCCAAGCACGTGTTACAAACTGAATGGCTGTGTAATTATAAAACCTTGTGAAAGAAAGACACAAATTGTGGTTTCAATCAATGAAATATCACTTATCTTAGGCCGATACCGCCGAGCCGCGTGTTGAAGCTCGCCCGGACTCAATTCCCATGACCCCGCTACCCGCCCATTTATCCACCCAGCGATGACTGAATTATTCAGACATTTTCAACAGCGTCATGCTAAACCTCATAACTCTCACTCGATAGATTGCTCCTCTATTCTGGCATCACCTTTGTCTAATAGACAGAACCTTCGCCGAGAAGTTGACAAGCATCTACTTCCAGACCGTCCCCCAGACTTCTAATCTTACTTCTCGCCCCTGGTAGACGAATCGCTACTGAGCCACGATAGCGATTCTGAGGTATTTATGGCTGGTGCTGAGTCAGCCTTGGCCCATCGGGACCGGGACCTGACAGAATCGATTAACCCTACCTAGGTAACCGGCCTTCCTTCAACAATGTTTGGAACTTTTCCCGGAGCTTATCACCAGGGTCTCTAATCTCGTGGATTCTATTAAGGATGGAAGACTTCAAAGTTTGCCACTCCTCCTTTGTGGGATGGTCGTGAAACACCTCTTCAAGGACGGTGAGTATGTCAGCGCTAGTTCTACACTGGCCCATAGTCGTGTAGTCGCCACCTCGCGGAATAAGCAATTCGCCCGCACCTTCATCGTTCTGATAGTCATAGGTCTTTCGAGCCCACAAGAGGCATCCGTGAGATTGGCGAGAAAGCGAGCCCACGCAACTCCCGCTGTGATTGAAAGAGCACGATGCTATCTCAGTGTATGGGATCAGGATAGCTTTTGTGCTAAAAAGTTAGCGCTTAGTTAGCGATGATTACTAGTTTGTGACACGCGAGCTATTACTGACCAATCCTGAATGGGCATTTCCCACATTGTGCATTTCTTAAGGCGCTGTGTCGGAGCGGCTGCGTTCCACCACCCCTCTTCAAAAGATGACCATGCCTCAAGGGCAACGAATAGTGCGGCTGTAGCTCCGGTGATTTCAGGTCCTGCGATACCCTCATAATCTTTTCCTTGAAGCCAGCCAATCTTAACTGTCTTAGTTAGTAAATGTGGACAGAAGATAGTAAGCAGGACTTACAAGGCTGACTACTGCGAGTCGCACAGTTGTTGAGAGACACAGCAAGAAGACCAATAGGGTGAACGGTGTTTTCCTGGGGTTTGTAATGCTTTTGGAGTGTTTCAAAGCCGACGAAAAGGCGGTCTAGCAAGTAGACGTCTCGTAATCTCTCTTCAACAGCATCCCAATGTACTTCGTGAGTTGCGTAAGAAATCCCGGAGTTCTTCATACCATGAGGTAGTGCTTTCATAGTTGCGAAAGGGTGTAGTAGCACACTACCCTGCTCAGACGTGAGACTATCAAGCCACTGTTTCTCGAGACTTGCGAGTTCCGGTTGCTTCTTGGAGAAGTTCAGTTCATCCTTGGTCAACACTAGATTGGCTGGGAATTCGGATGCTTTACAATCACTTTTGCATACGCGGCAATTGTCTTGTTGTTCACCTTTCCTTTTCCCTTGTTTGTAGACCTCCGTAGGCTGCACCCAACGACGCTTACAGTTTCGGCAGATTCGGTGACCGGTTCTATCCATGGAGGGTGCAGGAAGCTGTATAATTCCAGAAATTAGTGGCAGTTGAGTATGTACCAAATCCAGCTGACAATGAATGCGCTCTTAAATCGAGGATAGGGGCGAGAAGAGCTTCTAAATATATCGCAATATTACAAACCTGTGACCTTCGCACCTGCCAGTAGTTTGAAAAATGATCGAGAACCTTCTGCTTCAGCGTTGTGGTCACGATCGGTTTGCTCGTTCCGAACAAATCACGCACCCTGCTAAAGGTAAGCTTCTATTTTATGCGCGCGAAAAGTGTAGTAGAGGATCAAAACTACAAGCTTGTATTGAAGATACTTTCCTTTTTGAGAGGACCTAATTAGGTAAGTACATATAGATTTTAGAAGTTATAAGTACCTAGGTAGCTTGTTTTGCGTTCAGTTACCGCAGTATTATAGAACGAAAGGGAAGAACTAAAGTACTGCACCGCACCGCACATCTAGATGTAAATTAGAAGAGGGGAACATGTTAAGACTGCAAATAAGCACGAGAAAGTTACAAGAGCATAGCATTTTAGTATGATAAAGCTGTAGTATACAGCGACTAGTGACCTATTTAGTAGTCTTCAAGAGCATTACCGCTACTATATGTTATATAACATCACTACTTGTTAACTCGTTCCAAATGCAAGCTCTAACTCTGTGTGTAAGACACCTAGTCATTCTAATCTTATCACTATGCCCACGTTACCGTCATATTCCATCCACAGGTCAGCTACTCCCAGAAAATCCACTCTCACTGCGTTTTAGAACACATGTTGCGTACTCTTGTTACTTGTATAGAGCCTAGACAGCCCCCTATCGTCTCCGTGGAAAGGGTTCAAAATTGACTAGGCTGCCCGCTTCAAACGGTTGAGCAGGGTGGGCGAACTTGCAATTGTCGACCGAGCATTCCGTGTACGCAGCGCATCTTATACGCGTGCAAGCAATCGCATCCCCTTTCTGGATTCGAATCGTACATGGTGGACAGATCTTGGCATTGGTACACAGTTTGTCGCCCCGATTTCGCCAACATTCAGTGCACACGGAAACACGTGTATCTGTCTCAATTACTGCTTTTCGTGCAGCAATTTGCGCATTGTAGCCTCTCCGTGGTCTTGGGTGCTCGACAACGTTACTGTAACCGTCGTTGTAATGGGCTTTGTCGCAATGGCGAGGACAAAACCAATTGTCTCTCGACTCATTATAAGCCTCACAAGCAACCCTCTCGCAGGTTAGACTGGATGATTCACAGTTCTTGCACGACCCGGAGTTGTTGTCGCACAATTTTCCGCTCTCCCAACAAGCGTGGCAAGGTACGTGGGCTCGGAGTAGCGGTAAAGTGCGTAGACTCTGCAAGAAATCCTCGGGGAGTTTGGTGAACTTGCAGTGGAGCCGACGCTCATAGCACTTTCCACAACAGTAATCCGCGTCTGGGAGGGTGTACACGATCTCCGGGTGAAGGAATGTGCATGTGTCTTCCCCAAGGCACTCGTCGCAGGAAACTTTGACAGTTCCAGTGGCCAAGCCCGAGTTTTCGACGAGTTCTTGGAGTTTGATTCCGCGGTCTTTCACCTTGACCATCTCCGCCATCGTAGACGATTTGATGATATGATTAGACCAGTTCTTCTCCTCTTTGAGTCGAAGGAAAACCTTGCTGAAGTCCTGGTTATAATTGGTGACGAAAGGTTGGTTTTGCTGGGTGCGTGACAAGCTCATACCCACGAGGACACGCTGAATCAGGCTGCTCATGATTAGCACAGGATAGGACAGGATAGCGAAAATGATGATTTTGCGCCGATTCAATGAAGGAAGCTTACCGAAATGCTGTGTGAGCCTTATTGTCATCGTGGAGCTTCATATCCCCATGGTTCCATTGTCGCTGAAGCAGACCAGAAGAGCCATGTATACTCGTGGTAAGTTCCGTGTCATTCGCATTGAAGACTTTATGAAAGAACTCATGCACGGAGCCATCGTTGAGAGTATAAAGCTTGTTCAGAGGCTTGGCTTCAGACTTGATGTACGGCGATGCAGGGAAGGAAAAAAGCTTTCCCCGGCTAGGCCTTGAGAGCTCGCAGCCCCCGATAGTGGTTCGGACCCAATTCCATTCCCTGACACGAGATTTGTCCTCGCATGTTACGCAGGCTCTTGACTGTGGGAGGATAGTCGTCAAAGAGGAAGGCAGAAGAGCGATGTTGTCTAAGCAGGGGACCTGATCAGGCATAGCAAACCCCCCCGTCATCGCGACGAATACGAAGTCTTGAGCGGTACAGACAGGAAACGTCCAGCCTGTGTTGGCTGCTAGCTCGAAGAGCTCGGAAGTCGACTTGACCGCCTCAGGTCTGTGGTGCGGAATGAATTTGAGTAGGATGCATCTCTTCGCACCCGCTGCGCCCGCAACTAGTGACACGGGAAGTAGGCCGCTAGCCTCGTATAGCTCCTGATCTGTGGTGGTCCATTCGTGTTCGACCATGACTGCATCAGCAGCGGGATGGTTGTGCAAGAGTATGCATGCATGCTTGCGTAATTTGTAACACTGCTCGTTGATATGAACCCGAAATGCAAGACCCATAAGAGCTACTTCAATAGCAGAGTGGTGCGAACCTGGAGTTCCTCCTTCGCTGTTTTCACCCTTCGCTATGGGTCCAAAGTCGACAGTGTCGTCGTACAGGTCGGCCTCCTTCCACTTTTCGCGAAGTCTCGCCTTGGCATGTGGTCCATTTTCCCTGATTATGCTAGCAAAGTCTGTGCAGCTTCCATCCTCTACCATGCTGATGAGACGAGCCGTCGTGTCCGCCGAGTCACCGCCAGACCTGGTATGAATAGCAAGGCTTTCTCCCTTTTGGACCAAGAGGAAGTGCCAGTTCAACTTTAGGTCGAAATCGGAGTCCAGGGGTTTAAGCGGGATGTGGGGATTTTCTTCCCCGTAAGCCTTGTGCTCTACGTTGTAAGAAACGTCTTCTTGCTCGTCGTATAAGTAGAGATCGCATACCAGTGGGGCAATCGGATTGGACATTAGTTTCAGGCCAGGAACGTTCTTCATGAAGTCTCGGAGACGTTCGATGGATTGATCAGACAAGTGGTACTTCCGGGAAGTGATTTTGAGTACGCCGTTGGCTGTCTTGTCTGGATCTGGTACCATCCAGCCATGGAATTCGACTCCATTGGAGGGGTTGACATACGCGATCTTCTGGCGCGCAGCACCAACAATACGCGTAAGAGCCTCGTACAGGTTACTTACATGTACTGCGTATGGCGCTAACACATCGCTGAAGACGAGCTCATTGTCGGAGAGCAGACGAGACCGTCCTTGTGGCATTCGGTCTGCGCCGGACCTGTGCGTTGTCCTATAGATCCCACGCCAACTTCGCATTGGTACAATACACGTATATTGTGGAAATTCGGGAACAGTAACCATGTAGTATGGTACCCACTGCCCGGGCTTTGGGGGACTAGAACCGAATTTGGAATCGAGTCTGTAGATCTCCAGCGGCGCCGATAGGGGGAGGCTTTGATGTTGTCGTAGCCACTCAAGTGCAGCGGTGAGGTCCGTGAATGGGAAACCGTCAGGTGGATCGACGATCAATCCCCCATCGACGTTAGCACTCTCAGCACCTGGGAAGTTAGCCTTCACCCAAGGAATAGTGCGTACATAGAAGTAAATAATCGTACCTCGGATAAGCCCAATCGTCATTTCGTTTTTGCCGAGATTGTCCATAAGCACTTTGTGAAGCGTTTTGAAGCTATTGCTCTCCGAAAGCCATCCTAGGATAGAAGGTATTCGGTCCTCGATGCTACGGGGGGGTGCCATCGTGGCCCGCAAGTTGCTCGAAGCAAAATTAGACTACTGGATAACCGACGAGGGTAGCGTTTCCTCCAAGTAATGCGAATGTCCAGTCGATCTGAAGTGGGTTTTGAGAAACGATAGGCGTGCGGAAGGAGTTTGTTTGTCGCCCAAGTGCTTCCGCATCTCACCTGGGCAGGCTGTTATGACTAGTACGAAAGCAGTGGGTGATCCTAGTTTTGGGTCACACAAGCTTACACCGGCGGCTGCGACCCCCTACGATTGGCAGACCAGAGTGGGCCTGCTTACAGTAGGCACGTTGCTGCGCCCGCGGTAGGTGCATACACTCCCCCCCCCCCCCCCCCCTGGTACGGGTGCCTGGCGTGGTTTTTGAGGTTCTTGCCGAGCCACTCCAAAGCAATAGCGAAGCCCCTCGCAAGGGCTGCAAAGGCCACAACAAGGGCTTTAGCAAATTAGAATCTAAGAACAGAGAAAACAACGCTAGGTACCCGTACCAGGGAGGGGAGTGTACGACGCTCGTGTCAGCTTGCCAGCTGAGCCTTGGCGAGGAACGTGAGAATTCTCGACGATTGCACAACGGGCAAGGTGCAGCGTCGCAAGCGAAGCGAGCGCAATGACGTCGCGCTCGCGCAGCCTCGCGCCTTGAAAGCCATATCTGCCGCCCCAATCGAAGTTGACAGTCGGGAAGCTTAAGTTCGTGTTATCTATGCCTTTCTACAGGTAGTAGATTCTAAATTGCGCGTGCGTAGACTAGTTACAGTCCCGCAGGGTTTCAATCAGTGTACTTTGAAAGAAATAGCAAACAGTTTTTACCTTTGAACGTGATTCTTTTGTCAACATTTGCTTTCCCATTGATTTAATCTTTTCTAGCCAGAACTCCCACATTTTTACGAGTACCAAAACAGTCCGCCAACAAGCAACCTCGGAGATGTCTACTAAGAACAACGCCAATTCTAGTAGCATTGCGGAGGGTCCACACAAAGAGGATGGAAACGCCACAGAAGAAGAGGTGAGCAATGTCGGACGCTTCTGCGGGACCTGCGGTGAACGCAAAGCTGGAGAGCTACACAGAACGACATCAGACACATGGATAGAGTATTGTACAATATGCAAATCATTCCATACGTTCAAAACGGCACTTGTAGCACTTCCGGCTTCCATTGATTACACTAACGCTAGCCTAGGGCGATAAGACTCCCACAGTAGCGACAACCTCACTTGCAAACGTCACTCAAGATCGTAATCGCGTATCAAAACGAGTTCGTCGATCTGCTTCACCAGATGAATCGCCACAGGCCTCGAAACGACCTCGCAAAGTTGCTTCACAACGTCAGCAGACAACAACTAAGATGGCCGAAGCACTGTCCTGGGCTGACTCAGGCTCAGGTGCAGATTCAGGTGCTTTCGAACCAGATTTCCAAGATGGCAGTGACGAAGACTTCCAACAGGGCTCCGCCGATGACCTTAAGCAGACCCAGACCATCCTACATCCGCCGATGACAGAGACTCTGTCCAGGGTTGAACAAACCAGGCTACTCAGTCCTCGCACTTCATCGCTGGGATCGGATAGTCAACATCAGCAGATGCTTTACCATCTCTTAAGAGACAGTCTTGACTCAGAGCATATTGTTGCTGAGATAAATCGCTACCGCAAAGAAGGCAAGCAGCTCCCATGGTTCCAACAGATCATACCCGGTTTAAGACCCGGTGTCGAAGGTAATGCGACGTGGTTGCTGGCCGCTCGTGAGACGCTGTGGGACGAGGAAGAGATTGAGCGTCACAAGGAAATATGCGAAAGAAACATGATGCTAGGTCAGATTCTTCCAGAGCTACCCGTGGACGAATATGGGTTAAGAAGACCTTGGCCGTCCATAATAGAAGGCCTCCAACCGATCAGCCTCCCCTTAGCCATCGCGTTGGATCAGGTTTCCTGCCTACTTGCGCGGGGGGACTGCAAGCTGTTAGATCCTACTGGGAATTGGTTGCAGACTGCACCTAGTCGCACTCAAGAGAGTAACAACCAGCAGGACGGTGATGCGAATGCCGGTAGCAATGCAAACAACCAGCGAGACACCGCCGCAGGAAATAGCGATGTCGAAGCCGACCAGACATACGTGGTAATGCGACAAGCCATACAAGACAAAATCCTAAGCCCTATCATAGACGACTTGTCTTCGAAGCTCAACAATCTTACTGGAGGCGATTCGATGCAGGTAAAGAGGAAAGAGGAGCTTCGTGAAGGTTTGCGACGCTTACGAGCAGTTATCATCACGGAGAAAGACGCACGCGATAGCGCTCGAGACTAGGGGAAGAGAATTTTGACAAGTTATGGGTGAACAAGTGCATATGAGGACGTAATTAGTGGGTTATGTACTTTGCAAATGTTTTCTGAATTCATCGCGTTATTGTTGCATGCGACGGTATACACTATGTAGGTGTCAGGATGGGACCTCGGGAGGTAATCAAAGCCATCGCAATTTTACCGTATACCAAAGTACCATCTCAACGACCAGCCTGAACCAGGACCAGACCGCAGTTTGAGTCAAAGGCGCACTCTGTTCATTCTTACTGCATCCCTGCTCGTGAACGCTCGTGAATGCCTGCCCAGGTGACCCCCGAGCGACGCTTGGGCCACGCCACTCTTACCGAGGCTGCCCGGTCGCGCACCGCTCACAGTCGCAGTGATACTCCCACCAAGAACCACCACCTATCAGTCTTCGCCCCATGCAATGGCTACTGTACACACGCATGGAGTTGCTGAAAAGGAAGCGACGAAGCTTATGCTCCGAGAGTTACCTAGCGGAACCGTGCGATACGTGTCCAACTTCACTCCGCTCCAGAGCTTCATTGGACTCATCATCTGCGACAAGACTCCAGACGCTACCAACGCCCGCGCGCTACCGGTTAACGAGCTGCTCGCGCTCGCACTGAACGAACTGGCCGCCAGCCATAGATCGCCGGACACAAATGCAGATTTCGAAGAGAGGGCCAAGCAGTCGTCACGGATCAGCAAGGTCGGATCCGGAGGCTTTTTCCAGCATCTCCCCAATCGCGACATGGCGAGCAAGGTGGCTGAGCGTCACAGCGCTTCTAGCCTAGGGTGAGTGCAGCTGGTATTCTCGATGACTGGCCGGCAGTAACAACTTATAGGCCGTCCTTTCCAGCTCTCATCTACATGAATTTCGCATGGAGTGCGCAGAGCGTCGCCAACTTCGAGCAGAGTTCCCAACGCACCCGATACATGGCCAGCGACTACCTTAACAATCGACCATCGCACGCGGTTCCCATCAGTGCTTTTCAGGTCGCAGCGCACAAGACGTACCCGCTTTACAAAACCGAACACGACTCATACGTCATCATCGTAACTTCTACCTACATTTACCTTCTACAGAACCAACAGCTCGAAGAGATTGTCCAACTATGGAACCCGAAGAAGCGGAATCCGTCCGGTGCGGATCGCAGCCATCAGCTCGAGACATTTCCGGGTCTGTGGAAAGACGACCCTTCGTACAAACTTTGGGACGCCTTTACACCATATCGCCACACTAGTCTTGAGGACTTATACAATGCCGTAGAACAGACCTGTCGCCCTTCAAACTTCACGTCTGGCGAGCTTTTCGCGATCCTTCCGCGGCCGTTGCATTCACAGCCCAGGATACCATTTGGCACGGGTGCGAGCCTAGACCATGCAGGGCAGCTTTCCCTCGTGTTGGCAGTGGACGGCCGAGTCAAAGGCCACCGGCGCGGAGAGCGGAAGACAAACGCCAGAAGGCGCGGGCAGTCCACTGAAAGTGATCAGCCTGTCAATAGTGTGGACTGAGACTGAGACTTGTTGTCTCGACGAAGTGCTCATAGACCTGGTACAGGTACAAGACATGGGCCTGGTAGCGTTCGAGAACATAATACATATAGGATGTACACCTAGAGATCAGGAAGCCCTGCATGCGATATCAACAGCCATGGACTTCGGCTACGTTAACACCAACGTCGTGGCTGTACTCATCCCTCTGTCAGAAGATGCGCGCAGAAGCGTTGATCAGGGTACAAATGCCCAATACGCTGACTGGACTGACAACGTCTTGCCCGAGGGCCTACTCGCGCGCACACACCAGCGTCTCATCAAACTGTCGTTTGCGGCCTTTGCAGGCCGGAGATCGTTCACGTTTGGCAGCTCGCGAATCAAACACTATCAACTTCCCCTTTCTTCAACTGCCTTGGTCGATATTAGCGAGCTGCATTTTACTCTCTTCATCCACGAAGCCGACGGAACCTTGTGGGTTCGAAATGCGTCGTTGCACGGCACACGGATACGCGCGGCTTCAATTGACGAAGGCCCGAGTGTGGACCTTCAGCGGGTGGCCATGCAGGTCTCTCAGGTGACACTGCTTCAGCTTGGCCGTAACGATCGCTTGGGTTTTCTCCTCATTCCCAATCGCCCTCGTCACCTCCAGTCTTATCAACAGCACATTACCCGCCACTTCCAATCGATTGTACGGCCAAGCTGCGCGCTTACGTCAACACGGAAACGACTTGCATCCACTATGCTAGGCCTGGAAACGTTGCGGAAGCGACCATGCATCTCCACTCAAAGCATCGATTGCGTGCCCGCGAAGCTCGGCCTTTGTACCACGGGGGTGAGTCTAGATGACACACAGATCCAAGTCTACGGGTATCTTGACCCTAACGGTCATCGTTAATAGATAGTGAATCCAAATAGATTGTGTTTGCCTCCTCTCGCTCCTGCTTCCTGAACCTTTCTTTGCGTTGGCAGAGGACTTTCCAGGTCGAACTACATCTACAGGCCATGGCGGGTCATTCCCTTCTTGATCGGTTACATCCCCTCATCGTTCAGAATAAGGGAGCACGTCACGAGGCCGAGATTTTCGATGCATTGATCGAGCACCCTCGTGCCGTCCGTTCGTTCGAATTTGCCCCGGTTGATGGCGCTATTGACTGCGGCACACAAAACTCGCCTCTGGGCGGCACATACAGTGAGCGATTCTGGGAGCTGGATCAATTGTACAACGAGCTTCACAACGAGCTTGACACCGCTAGTGGAGACGAATGCATGGCACTCACACTCTTTGACGCAAAAGGCAAAGAATCTGGCAGCGCTCAAAATCAGATCTACGTTACTGCTCTTAAGCAACGGAATCTGGTCCAGTTCTACATCTGCATGTGCGCAGCGAACCCCGGATTTGTCGAACTCTACCCAAACTACTATGCTGGAAGTCTGACTGCTGGGGACGATCCAGGCCGTTATGTCGCAGTCAACCTGTCACGCAAGTCTATCGTTGGTCCCGAGTCCTATCGATTCCTCAGTCCCTGCAATGCTCCCTATCGCATGCCCATAGCCCTTCTCACCGAGGCCATTTCCCGCATTCGGGCATGTGTTATGGACCCGGAAAGTGTTTACGCAAACCCGTATACGAACACTCGTTTTCCGCAGTGGCGACCAAGTACTGTTACTACCAACAAGTACTTGATGCCCGAAGAGAGTACCCAGCACGCAACAGGATTCATCGGCCTCGTCGATATTTGGAGGGGCATACGCGTAGCTAAGACTACTAGCCACATCGACATGGACTTTGACTTTGTCAACCTGCAACCAAGACTAGCAGACTTTAAATTGCTTCTCCCATCCTGCCCTCCTACGCCAACTCGCAGGCAGGTCTTTGTACAGTACAAGATCGACGCAGTGCAAAGAGCACGCCACAACACGAAAATTGCGATAGGTCGGACTGGAAACATCGGTACACATTGGTACTTTACCGATACCGAACGGTAAGGATTCCCTCGCGTTCAAGATTAATTCTTAACACTAATCAAGCCAAGGTTTGACTTCCTGTGGTACGAGTTCCGCTACACTGAGTCGAGCACCAAAGTTCTGAGCAAGGAATTCTACTTCATTCCTGAATGTGAGCTTTCTGATACGCTGTATACCTCGCTGGAATTACACGTTACTCTCGATAAAGACAGGTTTCGCCACTTTCACTCGAGCATGGACGTGCAGGGCGACTGGGTAAGCTTCGTCCAGCAAATAGTGCAGCGATACCCAAGCCCACGCAGGTCTCAGAGGCCATCGCGACCCCAAGTTCTAGAAGACTACAGCCAAACCCCCACACCAGATCGGAAGGTCAATAGCGTACGACCGCGTGACAGCAAATGGTTTTCTCGTAAATTCTTCCATGGTGTCATGACGCAATGTGCGTTACGGAGAAAGGGTCTCCTGGTAGTGTTGTCCCCACAGTTTCCCATGCCCAACTTCGCTTTCTGTCGCTACCAATGGACGCAAGACGATGCGGAGACATACCTCAGAACCAAGATACCGCCCCTGTCACTCAGCGACCTTGGCCCGTCTACGCCCGTTGTACTTACCTACGCCATTACAAAATATAAAGCTGGGTCATCTCGTGGCCCTATCCTCACTCCGTTCGAGTTTAAACGGCTAGATGCGTGGACTGAATGTCAAGTCTTGTTCTTCGACATGTTCGGAAGAGATGGCAAGGACATTCTTGGCCCACTTATAGCGATACCTTCCGACGACGTCAGCATATCAGAGGAACATCGTCAGAAGTACAAGGTTGACCTCGGAAAGAGTACGAGAACGGATTACTTGAGCCGGAGTCCTTTGCTTGCGCAGCAACTTCACACTCGGTACACTTTAGCAGACTACACCCTCTCCACTCTTGGTCCGATGATCTTTGAAGAGACAGCGCCTCAATCTCAATGGTCTGATGTGTGGGAGCTTCTGGATGCATGTTCAGGTGTCGCGAGCTTTGCATTTCCCCCTGGTGCGATACGAGAGCCACACAAGTTTCGTGTGACTATCCAAGACCTACATCAGCGCCTGGCCGACTACCACGCTAGCGTAGAAGGCCGGCAACTTTTGGCGGCACACCCGATCGATGGCTCGCAAGTTGGAGACGAGGAGAATGAGGTGTAAGAGAAGTCAGCCACGACAGGCGAAACGGAGTTTGAACGGTATTTCGTCCGCAACTGTCTACATGTACACGCATTACCAATAGCTAGACCAACATTGATCTTTCTCCACCCCCATATCCCGCTACTACACATGGATACATTGAGTGCCTACGAAATTTCGCAACATGTTTGTAGGATGATTAGAAGCTTCACGTTATCTCGAACAAAGACCGGAGAGCAAACCGAGCCTCTTTTAATACGAAACACTGTCCACCAAGTTTCCATTTCCTAATTATCTACCATTTCACCATGGCAATGTCTACCAAAAGAAGGCTATCAGAAGGCACATCATTACCAGCTTACGAAGACACCAAGCCGCCAGCCCGAGCAGGAGACAGAGAAGAACATGATGAGCCAGAAAGCCTTGAAGGATTGTCGAAGAAGGTCAAGCGGGAGCACAATACGTACACGGGCGAGAAAGACGACGAACAGAAGGAGCGCATCGATGACTGCACGCCCCCCCCGCTCAATGAGACCTTGAGAACTGCGGACGATACAACTATCGACGGAAACCTTGATACCATGGATGGGGTTGAGCGTGAGCAGACTCCGACCGGTCCAGACCCCTCACAGGCCACTCACGAACCAAGCGAAGCCGAAGTCATAGTATCAAAACACTGGCAATACGCTCGCATGCACTCCACGAAGCGAACCACTGTCGGTAAAAGGCCTTTACTCAAGTTTACCAGTCAACCAACTGACTTGGAGGTGCTTTGCCTTGTATTCGATAAATCAGTAAAATGTCCCAATGTCCTCCCAGCAGCGTGCCGGGACGAAACGAAAGACTCTCACGCGATCGTGGCGCTGTGGCTAGAGACCGTGAACTTTGTCTTTGTTGGGGACGTTTACAAGTTCAGGGCTGAGCAAGAGCGAACAGCCTTTCATGACATGCTCGTGCATCAATGTTGGCCTCAGCATCATGATTGGGGTTCAGATCACGTGCTCAAGGTCACTATCCCTGGCTTCTCCAGGGCCGTTCCCGGAGCCTGGGTGTGGCTCTTTGAGGCGTGCCAAAACATGCAAGAGATAGCGATCGGCATCCGAGCCGAAGAGATGATACCCGACAAAGAGGGAGCTGACGGGGTCGAGGAGTTCATTGAGAAGTGGAACCTGGATCTTCTCTCAGGGACTTGTCTAAAGAAGCTGACGGTTGCGCTTGATCCAACAGGCAAAAAGGGACTGATGACGTCGGTTACGCAAGTTTGGCTCCAACGTTTTGCTCAGCATATGAAAGGCTTGAGAGCGGGTAAGCTACAAGTGTTTCTTGACACGACCCAATTCTGGGATCGCGACATCCCCGCCGACGTCCGAGAGATGTAGAAGACGGTGACATGGTGGACTATGGAAGCGAGGACCTGTGTCACATTAGGTTGTCAACACTCGTGGTGACGGTGGGGCTGAGATGCTTACCCAGCGAGTAGTGGACATAGAATAGTAGGGATCCATTTGCAGCGTCAATAGAAAGCGTTATCCACGTGTGCTACTACTCTATTCTTTCTGCGCTCTTTGCTTTCAAGGCTTGATATGGTGATACGAACCACGTACCGTCGTTCTGTTCGCGAGAGCCGGCCAATGGAGCCGCTAGCGTTGTTTGATCCTGAGCTCGAGCCCTTTGTACGACAATGCGACCGCAGTGGCCTCACGCCAGGCGAACAACACCATCATTCTTGACCACGCGTATCTTGTTGCGTACAGATTGCCTGGTTTGCTAAAATCATCATTGGCATGTCTTCTCTGTGCTATCATAGTACTATGGGATAGATGACATGACAGGATCACTGGCCACTGTCTGAGCACCATGGACGGGTCAAGTTTCTTTATCTCAGCCAGACAAGTCATGTAGGTACGTATCAGACTCAGCGAGTCTCAGGATACGGCAGGCCAAAGTTGAAGATCGAGACAGGAGGATGTCTCACGTAGGTAGTAGAAGAGTATAGAGCATTCCCGTCTCTACGTGCTGGAGAAACAAACTTCCTATACTTGCCAACTAGCATCGTCATTTCCTGTCAGCCATAAAACAACTTTTACACTGCCACTAACGCCACACCACGAGAAGCATGGCATCCAACGCAGCCATCCCCACCAGCGTATCCCGCCCTCGCGACATCAACTACGCCGCTGATGAAACTCTGCTTCCCGAGCCTGTGTTCTCCGGAGTCTTCCACAGGGAGCTCGATCTCCTCACGACTGTCGATGCCAGTCCGTCAGAAACGCTACTCATCATTTGCGAAGGCAGACGACAAGGCATCAGAGCCGTCATACAGGAGTATATCGACAATGGGCGCAACCCCACAGGCCGTGCCTTTCTACTCACCCAAAGGTCTCGGACTACAGCCAGAGGCGGCGTCTTCACAGACACAACCTTCCAGTGGAAGCCCGAATATCGTCACAATCTACCTGGTTCGGTGCTCGCAGCCTACTTCCGAAGTCCTGTCCACACGCTCATCTGCATTGGTATGCTTGAGCTAACGACCGATATCAACATGGCAGGCTGGCTCAGCAGTTGGAAACAAGCGCTCTTCCCGGGCGGATCCCTAGTCGCGGAACTGAACTGGCATTGGCAGGACCGCACCTGGCGAGACACTGCGAAGCGCTATGCTGAGATGGCATCACCTCTTGGCTTCTGTCTGCAGTCTGTCAACGGCTTTGATGTCTCTATGGGGGGTCTCTTGCAGAGTCGCGTTTCGCAAAGCGAGCGGTTCCGCCGAGCAAGTACTTATCGAAGGCAGGCAGCAAGACTTGTACGACATGGTCGTCACGTTCAGCTAGGTCAGTATCTTGAGTCCAAGGCCAAGGACGCGGAGACGAAAGGAGTTCTTGCTCAAGATGATTTCATTGTGCAGGGCGACAGGCTGTACGGTCGATTCGTCCAATGTGTCCCGGAGCCTTGGGTAGACATTTGATTTGATATTTAGCTCTAGGTAGTCATCTAGCCTTTCTGGCAGCATCCATACCGTCTTGAGCAGAGGTTGTGATATCAAAGTAGTGTATTTGGAATGCAATGTTTGGCGCGCCACAGCTTGGTAGTATTACATGGTCGTGCCTTGTTGGTATCTCGCCCGCAATGCAACCGGCCCATCGTAAAATCCGTGTTCCCCACCTTTTGAACAACAAAGACCTCTCTGACGCGGTCACTCCCGACATATCCGTACCTCGACGGCGCCAAGAACGCTCGGAGTGATACCGCAAAACCGGCCGACGACTTTGTTGTACTCTGGCACCGTCGCAAGCCTATTGGCTTCCTGCCAAACGGATACATCCCCACGCATTTGCTGCAAAGCGTCCAGAAACTTTCCCCACAACTGAGCCTGCTTGCCAACAACGTCCAGCAAAGCACCAATAGATTTGTCATGGTTGCCAAGAGCGGAGATGCGTGTTTCGAACCCCTGGAGAACCTCATCAGCTGCCCCAAGCTCCGCCGTAGCTTTTCTTGGATTCCGTGCATCAGCCTCGTAAGCTGCCTTTAGAGATGCCTGAGCGTCCTGGCGTACGCGGGTCGCATCCCGGGCGTCCCTCATGTAGCTCTGCGCAACATGGAACGACTCTACGGCAACACTCGCGCGCCGCGACAGCTCCTCTATCTCGTGCGCTAGGCTTGTCAAGGCCTCTGGGGGTTGGCGACGGTGTGGGCTAGCCTTTCGGAGGGGTTCGGATAGGCTGGAGTACATGTACGACGCAGCATGGTATTCTGCAGCGGCGGCCAGCTCGATCGAGTTGTTAGCCGCTCGGACTGCGCTGGCTGTGTCTCCATCAAGAGATGGCATGTCGATGCTCGCAGCAGCTCCGAAGTAACCGTTCAAGCGCTCTAGCCTCCACTCATCAGAGAGCACAGGCTTCTTAGATTGCCAGGAGAATGACGGGCTCGCATCCCATAGCTTGAATGGCAAGGCGACGAGAAGACCACCAAGTGCGATTTTCATCCAGAGCTTCAAAGAGAGGCGAGCGGTCCGTCGGTGGAGACGTGCAGGGTGGTTGGGAGTACAAACGACAAGGGCTTGCTGAGCTTCTTCGGAAAACTCTGGGTACGAAACGTTGCCTACTTTGATTAATATCAGGACTGTATGTGCGTAGGCGAGCGATCTGGTAGGAAGCAGTTCAACATACCCTCAGCATTCGTGCCCCGGACATTGCTAGGGTTGTCAAAAGTCCCGTTAAAGGCAGTTCCTTCTCGTGCATTGTTGGACGATGTTGTATGCTGGACGTCATTTGACCGAGCGAAGGCATTGATTGCTTGGCCAAAGGTATTCAAGCCAGGCTCACTCTTAACTGTCGGATGCGCCACGCTGCGTGATCGTAATTTGGGCGCTTGTTGACTGCTAGGTAATGCCGTGACGGGCTCGTATGATTTCTGCTTGCGCAGAGGTGACCGCGGAGCGCTCTGTTCGTGTTGCAGTGCCCCAGCGGCGAGGAGCCGCCTCCGTATTTCGTCAGGATGTGGTGGCATGATTCCCAACAGAGGTCGAAAGTGGTGTAACTACCTAGGTACGTGGTGGACCGCAGCGTCACACGATGACCCCGAGGATGATGTAGGTAATGTAGCGGGTGGAAATTCACAAGCATAAATGCATAAGATCCATGGATGTGTCTCACCCTTCACCCTTCCTCTCCAGCACCGCACGCCGACGCAAGAAGACCAGTAGCAGCTTTGCTCACTCACCATGTCCAAAGACAGCGCAGCTGATCTGCAGTGGGCGCCCTGCCCCGTGCGCCCCGGCTGGACCGACGCAGAACCCGAAAACCAGATTCACGCGCTCCGAGCAGAAACAACAAAGCTGAGGAACGACCACAAGGCGCTCCAAGCACAGCACAAAATCCTCTACGAAGCAGTGGAATTGTTTGTAAAAGAAGCTACAGAAAAGGACTTGGGTGAGGACCCGGGTACCCCATTCATGCCGGAAGAGGAGGAAGAGGAGTACGATCAGTTACAGGAACTCCAACGGTGGGCTCATCAATGGAAGGCCGTTTTCGCAGAGTTTACGGCAGCACCCCGAGGCGGTCAAGACTCGCTTACACCTACTGGGGCTGAGTTCCAAGCGCACCAGCGTGAAGACGGCTCAGAGCGGGATCAGAGCTCAGCGCAGGATGAAGGCTTTGACATCCGTCCGTAGGGGCCAATGACCACCGAAACCGGCATGTAAGTTTCCATGCGGCGCGAAGCAACAGCACCCTGACATCGTGCAGCTGCCCAGATGATCACACAATCAACTCCGTGCCTCAACACTCGTCATGTCCTATACGGTTCTGAATGGAGTCGCTCGTGATCGTACCATCGCCACATATACCAAATCTGCGCCAAAGAACTCTCTTGATATTCGCCTTGCTACCGCGTCCCATGACGGTCACCCTGGGCCCGTCTACTTTGTCACGGGATGGCTTGCGACATGAACGAGACAGCCCCGCAAAATGTATCGGATTGCTTTGTACGTACGGGTAGCTACAGAGAGCCACGTAGTTGTCGGCGGCGGGGTCAATGACGCTGCTCAAACAGGGGATTTGATTGCTCACAAGCAAGTAGTTGAGTTACAAGAATATATGTGTACTGCTTCGTGTCTGCTTTTCCATTCTTGTCGCGGAGCCGGCTACTACTTTGCAACATCTTCCCCATCACAACCATCGTACGCACGAACTAGATCGACTCAGCTACCCCCAACGAACCGTACTCAGCTCTGTACAATGCCTTCCACGAAAGCTACCCTCATCATCATGGGAGGTGCCATAGCCGCCATCGCGGTGACTATGGACTGCTACGCAGATGTCATAGTGCGCCAAATCGACAAGCATTTCGACATGTCTGAGCATACCATGGCGTACTTTGACCACTTCCCAATCGCAAACGCTTGCCCCAGCGACTTGGCATCGTGGCCCGCTAGTCTGCGCAATGTGGTAAGTAGCTCAAGACCCTTCTATCAAGATTCGCAATTGGCCCTAACCGCGCGTCAGGTCTTCGCAGGCTCCAACATGATCGTGAACATAGCGCCACCTTCTTTCGTCGAATCCGCAATGCCGATCGCCAATCTCATGGCCTCCATCACTGATCGAGTAACCTCGTTTGCCCATAATGTAGTCTACTTCGGACATCGAGCTCGAGACTTGGCAACGCAAGCCTGGGTTATTGCTTTCAAGACAGCTGGTGCCGTGACTGAGCTGCGAAAATTTCTGCACCAGTTGTGCGAGCCCTCGGTGGCGGATGCTCTACTAGCCATCGTTGCCTTGACATCGTCCTCCGGCATTCTGGTAGCAGTTTCCATCGTCGTGCCCTGGATACTGATGGTGGTTCGCCTGATCGCATATCCGCTCGTCTTCTTACTCTGGCTTGCTCGTTTGATGGTCAAGGGTGCTCTTGTAAAGTTTCCGCCTATAACACCTATACAATACCATGCTGACCAAAGGTTTAGCGCCTGTTCAAGCCTTCTGCTGTTTAGGTAACGCCGATGACGACTACACACGCTCCCAACCGATTGCGATGATACGGTCGACGTCCATTTTAGGGGAACATCACCACAAGTTGCTCTTCCCATGAGTTGGTCGCGGCGCTATCTTCGGGCATGGTGGGCTACTGTTCATGACAAAGGGAATAGGGCAACCCGGGCGTCGACGAGGCTTTCTCCCTCAGTCTATCTTGCAAATTAGTCGGGGTATTGCTTCATACTCATAACTGCATGTTGTAATATATATACGATCAATACATCATGTATCGCTACATTTTCATGAGCCTATAGTGGAATAGCCTTGCTGTGACACAATTTGTGACCTCTCCCGAGTCAGGAGGACATTGCCACACGCTGGGCATTTCTTTGTTTGGCAAACACTTCCCGTGTTTGTCCTCTTAACTAAGCTACATTTCCCGTGTATATTCTCGCCCTTCGCGGTGGGGGCCCTCATACTTCACACGTCTTCTCATCTAAACATATGTCTAAGTATGTCCGGCTACCCCTACCCACACTCCATGGACGACGCTGAAGACTATGAAATTATAGTCTCCAGCGACCTAGATGTGCCACCTCGACCAACAGATGCACAGCGTACTGTTGTGATAGTGCTGACAGATACGATTCCACTCCAGCACTCGTTACTTCACCGGATCGATCGCCTTGGTCATATTGTGGTCGCTCCATGTCATCCTGATCGACCCATCACAACAGGTCATGGGTTCACCAACCGTTGCTATTTCTATCATACTGCAGAGCCGTTTGCCAGCATGTCAGCTGAGCATTGGCTCTCTGCTAAAGCGCACATTCGGCATATCACGAACCAACCCGTCGTTCTTCACATTATCGTGATTGGAACCCCAAGCAACACTGCCGATCTGGCAATCAATACCTTTCTTTCCGATTTCCATACTCAGCGCCGGCTTGAACCCGTGACTGTCATCGCGGAGGCGTTTCGAGAATTCGCCTACGAGCCGTACCATAGTGTCGTGCGTCGATACCAACATGCTGTTAAGCAACAGTCTCTGTGGCGGATTAGCAGGGTCAACGGCATGCAGGTGCGGCAGAACGGCACTCTTTTTGCCGATGCCATCACGATCGGTGCATTACGTCGACATGGTTTCTGTCACCGACAAATTGCCGAGTATAGGAATCGGGAACTGATGGATGAGCGAGTCGACTGCATGCTTCAGGCGTGGGAGCCAAGCCCCCAACACGCGTTTCGGCAGGGGGAGCGCATCTTCTTGACCCTTCAAGCTTCGAATTGTTCGTTTAACAATTAGTTACTAGCTATTGCGATGGACAGGAAAGTTGACGTGAGCTTAACCCAAGATACGACGGAGGTAAAGAGGCTGGCAGTAGGCTACCCTGCTGGAACAATGAACGGATGAAGGATTCTTACCTAGGTAGTCTTTGCATAGTTACTCTTGGTGCTCGTGTAGCTTGTCAACATCTAGCTATGCGCCTCTAGAGTTCTTACAATACTAGTGCTGTCGTACTGGCATCAGAATCGCAAGGTGGTCGTTCATACCCAGGTGTCGCGCGATAGACATGCAATGTGTGCACAGACCAACCGTTCCATTAGGCCCCGCGCGGGCGCGCTCGCAAGGTCCCGAGGTCCAGCCACACATCGCAAGCGCAAGGCGAAGACTGACGACGGCACCGACACCGAAGTCACCCCAAGAAGACTCCGACACCGCGCAAGCGCAAGGTAACGGCCAAGGTCAAGGAGGAGGGCAAGGACACTGAGGTCACCCCCAAGAAGACTTCGACACCGCGCAAGCGCAAGGCCAAGGCCACGGCCGCGACCGCGACCGCGACCGCGACCGTGACCGCAACCGCGCCTAAGTCTAAGTGCAAGTCCAAGACTGACGATGGCAGACGCCAGTCACACTCAAGAAGCCAGCCACACCTCACAAGCGCAAGGCCACGGCCGACAAGGAGACCACGGCACCTCAATCGCCAGCGGGAGTTCAGAGTGCTGCTGCCGCCTAGCCATATCACCGTTCACCACCTCAACCTCACCGTATGGACCCTAGATCCAGCGCCCGCTCCTAGCTGCTGGGGACTATATAGTCCTGCTGCCCGCTGTTTCAAACCGCGGTTTGAAAC